GTACAAGTGTGAGCCGCGGTGCACTGTGTGAATGGTCCCGCAGCCTCCTGGGATCTATTATGTTTCCCAAGACGTTGAGGGTGGGTGGGGGGGGGGGGGGGGGTTAATCGCCAAGTCAATCTGATGAGAAGACCGGGCACCTACCAAAACTAAGTACCTGCCCCCCCCCCCAAAAAAAAAAAAAATGTCCAAAAGTGTTAAAGGAGGTGGGGCAGGAGGAGATAAAGCGGAACTTCCCTTTCAGGGTGACGTTCCGCTTTGAATTTCATCCAGTTAGATTTTACATCTTAAATAAAATATGAATGGATAGTTGCGAGCGCACTTAAAAGCTGCTACGCACTAAAGGTAACCAATAAACCTCAAACAGACAAAATAAAATAGAGTGCAGAGCTAAAAATAGGTACATAAAAGTATCAAAATCACTATATTAAAATATGAGTAAAAATAGTTCATAGAGTGACTGTTAATGTGAACAGGAATCCTGCGTTCATCTAGAATCGGTGCTTGTGCAGTCAAACTGAGGAGAATGCGCACTCACCAGAACGCATAGTAAAATGTGCATTAATGTATAAATATCCTGATATCATCAAGGTCATCCAGATTTGGACACGAATGAAGTGAAATCCCTCACTGGATAGGTCTGGATCCTGAAGCTTCTGTTGTATACTGGGAGGGTGCCAGAGATCCCTTTAAGGGATGGACGGGTCGACTCACCAGGTGTACAGGGGCTCCCTCTCTGGATATGTCTTAGTTCTCCTCACACTCCGCTCTCCACACTTTCATTACCGGTCCCGGGTCACAAGAAGACAGACAGCCGTCTTCCGCTTTGAGATTTTACATCTTGTTGTTACATATCTGCAGCCATACATTTCAGGGACAATCGTTTGTGCTGTTATTCACTCGTATTCCTTCCCTCCTGGAGGACACGTCAGCCCATTGCTAGACTGCATGGCCCCAGGAGAAGCCCACCTATCTCCTGTCTGAGCTCAGGGTTGATAATTGTTTCTAGGCTTCCTGCGGAGGGGAAAATGTTAATTAACAAATATTTTAATTTTCTTTCATGTGAATCCTGACAGCACCTTTATCTGACACCTTCATGGGTGTCTGAGGACTGAAGAGACTGGGCAGCCTTCCAACCTGCCCCTCAAATACTTCTGTTCTAACAAGCTATGACTTCTACCAGCGAACATTCCACTGTCCAATGAGTCTGCTTGAGTAAGCAACAGAGGATTTGTAACAGGGCAGAGAAGTCAGACTCCAGTTTCAAAGTGAAACTACAACAGAGAGGGGCACAGAAGATGCTTTTTTAGCTAATAAAGGTAACAGCAGGCATTGTGTTAGCGCTGATGCAGGGCTTAAAAAAACAAAACAAAACAAAAAAAAAAACAAGGTTCACTTCAAAATATTACTAGTTTACCTTTAATAAATAAATCTCAATTGGGTTGCACTGTCCTTCAAAATGATTGAAATGGTAATAATCACAGGAGAGGACTCCCCACCTCCCGGTAGACCACATCAAAGAAGGATATAGAGCTGGACATTTTATCACAGACTGAAATCCTTTCCTTTTTTTTTACACTTGCTTGCCCTTGCAATAACATTTTTTATTGATTTGCGTTTGCTTTGGTAGAGACCAGTCTGAAGTATGCATATCTATAGAAAGCACAACCTCCAGAATCCACTGCCGATCATTAATGTTCCTGGCTCCCCAGGCTTTGCCTGCTTGGGATGCAAAGCTCCAAACAATTATTGCAGTGCCCATGGGAAGGCTGGCAGCAGAGAAGTATAACTTGGGGGTTGGGCACATGGAACACAGAGCGGGTAAATATCAGATATGATGCAATTAAAGACATCCTTTTGGGACTCCCAATCCAATAACTGACCCGCTCTGGATGCTTGTGTCTGAGTCACGGCTGAATCACAGTCGAGAATTCCTATTAACCTATCCAATGCTGAGGCCTTTGGGAGCCTGCCAACTGCAGACTGACAGCATATCCGCATGTTCCAGACTGTGTGCGACTCTGAAATTGGTTTTGTTTTAGAATGCAATTATGGTCAAGACTGATGGCAACCTATCTTAAGGAAAACAATATAAACATTTAATAACAATATCTAGAATCAGTCTGCAGTCTAAAAGAAGACAAACTCAACACAACTTGCATCTATCACAGTGGCTTAGTAGTTAGCTCTTCCACCTATCATCACTGGGGTCCCTGGTTAGAGTTCTTGTCAGGACACTCTCCTATCATGTCCTTCCTGTTCTTGTATGGGTTTCCTCCAGGTCTGCGTTTTAGTGACCCAAAGCCATAGGTTTTCATTGTGCACCATTGCAGCCTTCTAGCTGCCAGCCTCCTAACAACCAATGATGCTTAGTAGTTAGCTCTTCCACCTTTCAGCACTGGGGTCCCCGGTTAGAGTTCTTGTCAGGACACTCTCCTATCATGTCCTTCCTGTTCTTGTATGGGTTTCCTCCAGGTCTGCCTTTTAGTGACCCAAAGCC